TATATATATATATATCAAAATTTTCATTAGAAAATAGATTTAAGATTATTTAAGTCTTAAAATCAGTACATAAAACTTAAGTATAATTGGTAAGTAGGTTAAAAATATGACATCATGTGTGCAATAATACAAACAATAAATGATCAAAATTTAAACGAATATTTGATAGACAAACGAATCGAATATACATCTGGTTAAATTCTATTCATTAGTAAAAACAAATACTAAAAAATATTTGTTTAGTGGTAAATGAACTATCGAATAGTTTCTCGAACAATTTTCGAACTAATTGTTAATAGTTTGGTTCATTTCCACCCCTACCAAATAGTTACTCGAACAATTATCGAACTTTTTTGGCGACGGCTAATCTTATCAGAGCACTCTACCAAAAGGGGTGATCTGTACTGTTCACATGGACTCAAAGGCATATTTGTCATTTCCATGACCCTGGTTGGTTCGGTTCGCCTTACACTATGTGGGATGTTCTGATAGGATTAGTACTTTTTTTTAATCTTTTAGGCCCCGTTTGACAAAGGGTTAAGAAAGAGAGGTTAAAAAGAAGGATTAATGTACTTAGCTCATTCAATAATCTGAATGACTAAATTATTAATCTGTTAAATAAGTTTTATTTTAGTCCTTGTAATCAGTTTTAGTGTTTGGGAATAACAATGATTTTGACTATTTTCTTTATAACTAGAAGGGTTAACTCTTAATCTATATCTATACTACTTCTAAAAGAGAAAACAAGGGTCAAAACTTTTGCATGCCCATTTTACCCCTTTCAATTAGCTTAATTATAATTTTATCCTATATTTTTTTGAGAGATAATTTTATCCTATATTTGTATCTATTTATTCTTATTTTGCCCTTTTTACGTTTTCATTATCAGTGATCAGTGACGCACCCTTTCCTCTGCCAATAAATATGCCCTTTCCTCTGCCGATTCGTCCCCCATCTCCGATTCTTCCGTTTCTCAACCACTGAGAAGCGGTTGAATCCCCCGTGCCTCTTCATTCCCCCCGCCCCCACTCCCTCATTTAGGGGGTGTTTGGTTAAATGAAGGTGACACGAATGTGTGAAAGTCACTTATTTTTGCAAGTGCGAAAGTGGATCCATGTCAACATGAAAGTGAAATGCAATGTTTGTTTGTAAAAATGAATTAATCTTGGAACTAGGAAAATAAAGATGATGTGGCAATTATTTATTTATTTGTTATTTAAATTCATATTACACTCTAAACTCTAATAATTATTCTGGTAACAACTAAAGAACGAATTGAAAGCCTCATGTATATATATCATCAATTACTTGTACTAATTTTTATAGATTCTTTGTATTATGTATTTTTTTTACTTATGTACTTTATATTTTTTTAATAACGTAATGGCTTATTAAATGCCTAGTCATGTTACAACTGTACAACAATCACGCTAAAATGTGTAGTCATGTTCATAACTTGTCTAATTCATATTATATACATGACATAACAATGTACACAGCTATAAAAGAAATAATATAATTAGCATGTAAGAAAATTTTAGGGGGAGGTGGTTGTTTCCGCCGAATAACATGGGAAAATAAGATAAGATAAATAATAAATATACTAATTAATTAGGAGTGGTCCCCACTTTTTTCTCACTTTCACTTGACTTCGGCACTTTTTTAGGGGAACTTAAACATGCATTAGAGCTTATGTGGACTCATTTTAACATTTTACTTTCAAAATTACTTTCAATAAAACAAACACCAAAAGTCTTAAAATCATTTTACTTCCATACTTTTACAATTCACTTTCATAAAAACAAACAACCCCTTAACTTGAGCCCCTACCTGCTAGCACCGTCGCCTCTGTAGAGTTGGTGAAAAGTCAGAGGTATGCCTCTGGAAGTTGGGCGGTCGACCGGCAGTGGAGCTGCGGTCGACCGATATGTGCACACAACTCTTAGTGTACCACTGGACTTTGGGCGGTCGACCGGCAGTGGTTCTGCGGTCGACCGCGAATTGTCCAGAGAGCAGACTGGACCTCGGGATATTTTGCGGTCGACCGGCAGTGGTGCTGCGGTCGACCGACTATCGGGTTTTGGGTTTAAGTTGGTTTTCCAGACCCGTTTTCTTTGTAACTTGTATATAAACCCCAAATCTGTTCTAGGGTTTATGCAGGGAGATTTTGAGCTGCCAAAGGGGATTTTCTAGGGCTTCTTTTGTTGGAGTCTATTGGAGAGATCAAGTGATCTTGTTTGAGGGTTTTGGGTAAGATTTGTAACCCTAATTTGTATTCCCCTTTGATTTGATTAGTGAACCTCCCCCCTCCTTGCCCCGTGGACGTAGGCACATTGCCGAACCACGTATATCTTGTGTTCTTGCTGTGATTGGTTGGCTTGTGTCTATTGTGGTCTATTTTATTCTTGTGTGTGCTATTGTTTTGTGATCTATTGGTTCTTGTGTGTGCTATTGTTTTGGCTATTTGGGACTTCCGCGGCGCACAACAAGTGGTATCAGAGCTCCGGGTTGGATTTGGGAGTTTTGTTCGAAGGATTCACTGTTGGATTCTTATTTGAAGAGTAGATCTACAATATGGGTGATACAAGCAGGGCTAGCTCAAGTGCTACTAGTCCATCGGGGTCGGCTTTGACAAAGGCGATCCAAAATTTGAGCATCAATAACACTAAAATTGATGTCCCAAAGTTCGACGGCAAGATCAACTTCGGTTTATGGAGGTGTCAAGTAATGGACGCCTTAGATGCACAAAACTTGGAGGAGACCCTTGAGTTTCAAGAGAAACCCGAGGAGATTGATGATAGGGTTTGGAAGAAAATGCACAGTAGGGCTTGTGGGGTTATTCGGTCATGCCTAACACCGGATCTCATTTATGATGTGATGAACGAGACTTCGGCAAAGAGATTGTGGGAAACGCTCAATGAAAAATATTTGACAAAAAGCATTGAGAATCGGCTTCACTTGAAGAAGAGGTTCTACCAATTCAAGATGAAGAGGGGAGTTTCCATTCGAGAGCATGTTAACGACTTCACAAAGCTAATTTCGGATATGGCCAATGTTGATATCATGGTGGAGGATGAAGACAAGGCGATGTTATTATTGTGTTCGTTGCCAGATGATGAGTTTAGCACCTTTGTTCTCACTATGATAAATGGGCGAACTACAGTTAGCTACAAGGAGGTGACCTCGGCATTGGTGAATTATGAGCTGAGGAAGAATGATTGTGAGCCCTCCGAGAAGGCATCGGGTGATGCACTTGCAGTTCGTGGCCGTGCTCCAAACCGTCAAAAGTTCAACCGCTCAAAATCGAAGAATAGGGGTGGCCATAAAAGTGTTGGTAGAAATCAATGTGCCTTTTGCAAAGAAGAGGGACATTGGAAGAATGAGTGCCCAAAGTTGAAGGATAGAGCCAGGAAGCAAAGGGGGAAAGCTGTACAAGCTTCAGAGGTGAATGTTATCAAGACTAGTGGCGACAATTTAGATTCGGATTCTTCGGACTATTCGTTATCTGCACTACCGTCAGTTTGTGTTGCCAATTCTACAGAGTGGATGTTGGATTCAGGTGCTTCATACCACGTTTGCCCTAGGAGGGATTGGTTCTCCAGCTTTCAGAAGTTGGAAAGAGAGGATGTTGTGCTCATGGGTAATGGACATGCATGCTCTATTGGTGGTATTGGTACCGTTCG